ATAGATAGTATCTTAACTAAGATATACTATAATATAAGAATTATAGATCTTCTATATAATCTCTATATATAATATCTTATTATCTAGGATCTATATCTACTATCTAAAGTAAAATAATCTTTATTTATCTAGATAGTACTCTAATAGACTTATTTTTATATTTACTTTAGTAATAATTTATTAGTTTCCCTTTTCTAAGGCTTTATATATCTTTTAATACTCTAGATTAGTAGATCTTATATTCTTCTATTCTTATTATAGTATAGGCTTATTAAATAAGAATATTTCTTTTTTAAAGTTAATTCCCTTTACTACTAGTAGATTAGGTTATCCTATCTTAATCTATATCTTTTTTAGTAGGGTTTAGAACCAATTTAATAGCCTTTTATCTATAATATACTATAGGGTATCTTAGCTTTACTATAAAAGTATATTAGGTCTTATAATAAGCTTCTTAAGATAATACTTTAGTTTATAATTAAACTCTATAAGGATATTTATCTATCTTATTTATTATTTATTTAGATATTATATTTTACTAAAGTATTATAGGTTTTTATAGTCTATTATAATAGTAAATCAAAGTACTATCTTTAACTTTAGTCTCTACTTTTAGAAAATATATATAATTACTAGTAGCTCTTTATTATAAATCTTATAATTTAACTCTATTAGTAATAGTTTCTAGAAGAGATAGATATATAGATATAGCTATTTATCTAATTTATATTATAATAAGATAGCTCCTATAGCCTATCCTAATATATCTATCTTAATAATAGTTTTTTTATTCTCTTTGAAATATACTAGAATCAGGATATTAATAAAAAGGCTCTTTAATTCTTTAAATACTTATTAGTAGTTATTATTCTATATAAATTAGATATCTTTTCTTATTAATTTTATTAAGAGTACTAAGAGATTAATAAATTAGAGTATAAATAAATAATAAAAGTTAGTAAATCTAAGGAAGCTTTATATATCTTATATTAATTTTAGTACTTCCTATTTTTAGATAGCTATAATCTTCTTTAGATTAATATAGATTTCTTTATCTACTTATATAATAAACCTTAGATATTTTATAGAATCTTACTTAAACTCTAATTTCCTAATATTATACTATAGATCTACTTCCTATAGTTTCTATAGTACTTATTTTACTTTCTATTAATAATCTTCTAGTAATCTATTACTATATATAATAATATTATCTATATATATAGATATAAAATTATTAAAATACTCTTATAGGATCCTATTAATATATCTCTAGAAAGTTATTAATATATTAGTTAATCTAAATAGAGTAATATTCTACTTATATAGATTATATTATATCTAAAATACTATTTTCTATTCTTCTTTTAGTTAGATATAAATCTTATAGAAAGTAATAATAATATCTAACTTAGAAAACCATCTAGTCTATCTTATATTCCTTAGTATCTCTTTAATTAATAATAATAGTTAATAATCCTTTATTATTAATCTATTTAATTTATAGTAATTAATATAGAATTATACTTCTTTACTTAGCTTTCTTATTAGTAGGACTAGGATTATAGTAAGTAATTTACTTACTTAGATAAAGCTCTTTCTAAGAAGATCTATTAATATTTTCTATAGATATAGGAACTTTTCTTTATTTATATTATAGAGAGAACTATATAGAGATAGTTTCTTAATATTATTATAGTTTTATTTTAGGATAATTTTATAGTTAATTCCTAGTTAATTTAGAAGTAATTTATTAATTAACTACTAGCTAAAGATATCTAACTATTATTAATAATATCTTAGTAGTTTATCCTTAGGATTATTCTATTTCTTTAAATATAGTACTTTCTTAATATTATCTATTATAACTTTACTAATTTATAGTTAATTTAGCTACTTCTCTTTATAAATAAAGTTATATAGTAATTAGACTATTAACTTCTTAATCTATATTCTTTTTATATTAATTAGTCTAATTATATAGTCTATATAGTTCTAGTATTTTATTTACTCTTTATTTCTTATAAATATATTAATATACTTTTTCTTTATTAAGTATTAGCTATTAATATCTTATAACTAAGGATCTCCTAATATTATACTATCCTCCTACTAAAAAATAATATATATAAATATTTATCTTTACTAATAGCTATAAATATCTAGGTTAAAATATATAATCTAAGTAATTTAGCTTTAATTTAGGATTATCTTATCTAGGATCTATATAGATATCCTAATATATAGAAGATTAAATAACTAAACTAATATTTTATTTATAGTTATATAATAATAGTATCTATTATTAACTAGGGTTTATATAAATTAGATTTTATTTACTCTAGTATTAACTAGAAATAGTAGTATTTCCTATTTAATAGCTTTTTAATTTCTTTTTATTTTTATTTATAACTTAGAATTAGAATTACTCTTTTCCTAAATCCTTATTTAAAGAGAGTTTATTCTTAGAAGCTAATATACTTAACTTATAGTTAGTTATATATCTAGCTTTCTTATCTTTAATCCTATAGGAATATCTCTCTCTTAGTCCTTAGTACTATATAGCTAATAAGAAATACTTTATAATAAAATAGTCTTATTTACTATAATAAAGATATCTTTCTTTATCTTATTATCTCTTTATCTCTTTATAATTAATCTACTTTACTTATTTATTTATTTTAAGTCTTAATTAGTAGTATTTTATATAGAATTTAGCTTAATTAACTATAATAGTTAGGGTCTAATCTATTAAATCCTAGTATTACTAGATATATATATAATATAATCTTTCTAGGATATTAATACTAAGGGTATCTATATTAGTACTAATTTTATAAAGTTAAGTAATAAGATCTAAAAATATAGTAGGAATACTATAATTTATTAATAAATTTGTTATACTTTTATTTAAAGATTCTAATAAGATCTATCTCTTTATTTTATTATACTATTTAAAAATATATCTTTTATAAATTTCTTCTCTAATCTAAGAAGGAATTTTATAAAAGATATATTATTTAACTAATATATTTAGTAGAGATATCTTATAGTATATATCTTAATATTTAGGTTTTTATAAATACTCTTAAGATAGTCTAGAATTATCTATAGATCCCTATTATTTTATTATAATTTTATAAAGGTTCTAATATTCTTCTAAGTAAGCTTCTTAAGTCTAGAGAATATATATATAAACTAATCTTAGGGTAAGCTAATTACTATACTATCGATATATAGTTTATTCTCTATTATTATATACTATATTAACTAATTAACTACTTTTCTCCTAAATAGGATTAGGTCTAGTAGTTATATCTTTAAATAATATATAGATTCTAATTATAGGGGTTCTAGGATTAATTTAACTATAGTTTATACTAGAGTTAGTTCTCTTATTATTATTATTATTAACTATAAGACTAATTATTCTATTATAGTCTCTAGGTAATAGATTTATTTATTTTAGGTAATATACTCTTAGTTATATTATTATATTAATTCCTCCTATACTATATATTCTATATTAATTTACTTATTCTATTTACTTTATATAGCTTATAACTATACTATTTACTATAGTAGTATCTATATTTATAATAGTAGGCTTATAGACTTCTATATCTTTTACTTAGGGGTTATATTACTAAATTACTTTTGATTTAGGGACAATTTATATATAGTTTTAGATTTTTACAATATCTAATTAGAAGCTTTTTATTTATAAAGAGCTAAAGTAGAATTTATATTTAATTAAGCTAGGCTACGTACTGTATATAAAAAGCTTAAAGAGAGAATTACTAAGTAGATATTCTACGTATTAGGTTATTATAGTTATGTATACTATGTGACCTTATACCAGGTATTGGCCTGTGACATCCTATAATATATTATCCGGCAGTAATAGCAACCCCAATACTCTTTAGACTCTATTAAAATTTACTAAATCGTAATCTTTAATCAAAAAGGGTCTAGAATTATCATCTTTAATTATATCTTTACTAGTTAAACAAAAGATTAAGAAGATATATAATATAACTATTAAAATTGTCTATCACTATCTTTTTCTCTAAGATCGTTGTAGCTAATTAGAAGCTACTAACAAAAAATAAATTAAAAATTGTGCTACTAAGCATCAATTTATTAATAAAAAAGATATATTTAGAGGTTTAGAGAGTGGCAAAGATAATATAGTGATTAAGAGTACAATTGAATACAAAGATATATCTTTGCTAGATATGCCTACAGAAACTGAGACTAAGCTAGCTTTACCTTCTATACCTATAATACATCGGCAGATAATATGTTCTAGATATAGAATTAAAGGTTATACTTATACTAAATGCCCTATACGTGTTAAATAGTTAATATTTTATTGTTTTTGTTGTTTTAATAGTTATTGAAAGTTGATGTTTTTTTGAATTTTAATGGGGTCGCTCGCCTAACCGGTTCGCCCGGCTAACCGGGAGTCACGTTATTCCCACGACAGATTATATAATCATAGACCGGTTTGTGATCACCTGCTATTTTGCTTCGTGCTGCCTCATGAGCCTATGTTAATGAATACTCACTAATGTCGGATTTCGACTGTATTTTAGTCTGCGGATATTCCCTGAGCATCGATATACATAGTACAAGCTTTGAGATATACTGTCACGGGATTCCTGAATCCCTTCGGGTACGATTCGGGTACGATTCATGGCCGCTCCGCAGGCGAATCTACCACGATACACCCGCTAATGCATGACTGCCCTAAGCCCTAGCAAGCTCTAGCAATATTAAAACGCACGAACAATAGCTACGATTCTTGTCCTGCAAGAATCAGTTCTGTATATCAACTGTTCTATTTGATCTCTACCATCCGATATCCTTGCCTAGTCACAGGTCCCTAGCCTGACAACTTAGTAACCATTACAGGAGGTTCCTAATCTTAGACCCGTGGGGCGGGTGAGTGCCAGGTCTAGTATTCTCTCTCTAAGACCACCTATCCAGTCACTTCTATGGCTTCAGCTGGTAACCTCCAAACCACCGCCTATGTTCCGCCCGGTTGGTCAGTTAAACTTTTGGACATACCTATGCTTGGAGGCTATCTCAATGCCATAAGTCAAGCCGCAGCTTACGGATCTGCTCTTGAGGATAACGCAGATTTCATCTCAAAAGATCTCTCAGTTGGCGATGGAAGCAAATGGATTTGTCGAAAGGTCGGCGTAAAGTGACGAGACTCAGACCAGGAAAGAAAGCTTGTGACTTCGCGATTGAAAACCCAAGGCTGACCGATTTGCTAAATGAAACCATGTCAAAAAATACAAATGGCCCCAAACCCCTAACCTCAACCTCCCACCGCCCCTGGCAGTATAACGGAATTAATCATAGTAACCAGCGAAATGTGTATATAGCTGCTAGATTATATGTACTAATAGTGGGCCCCAGTCAGGATACATATTAAAGTAATTGCGCATTGGGGTCGCAAACAAGGTAGTGACTGTTGATTTACAGGGTTTACGTAAGTTTATGCACCATATTTGGATCGTAGGCAATACTAATGATCTTAGCGCGGCTTTCATTAGTGGTTACATGAGCTAGGCTGACCACTTACGCAAAGCCTTTGCCTGAGAGGTGGCCGACAAAGTGGGGATGAGAGAGTAGTGGGGATCAGTGAAGTCCTTCACGAGATTGATGATACTTTCTACTTTACAATCACCCAGGGGTCCACCCTAGGTGGATTTCCGTAAGGCAGAGTCTCGCAGGAGCACCTGTAGCAGAAACAGCAGAAACAGGTGTCTGAACAGCATCGAATACTGGTTCCAGTTGCGAGCTGGGATCATAAATGTCTACCCACGGCCCTTTTAATGCCTAGATAATCGTATTCTCATGACAACATGTTTTCCATGAATATACTCCTTACAACTACAATAAATACAGCTATTATATATCCCCTACATGCAATATGTACACGGTTATATTTTCATTTATGCAGATTTCCCTTTGGAGTGGGTTGAACATACTGATAGGAAAGGGAGAGATAGTGCGGTAAAGTAAACGTGACTCACTATTTGCCTGTATATCTCTGCTAATAATACATGCAAACATCACCCGTGGACTTAGTAGCGTCATATCTTATCATTTCCAGGTGGTAGGAAACCCTTCTACTCCAGTAATCCATGTAGGCCTGTCGTCTCTCCGCGACTTAAAATTCAACGTGCAAGGGATTCATTCAAAAGTCGAAGGTTAGACTTGCGAAAGAGAAGCCAATTCTAAAAGTAAGGGTTAATCTCAAATACCTCCAATGCAATAGAAGCAGGTACAGTAACCTTGGAACTTACCAAAAGGTACAGAGGAAGAAATGTAACGATAAAATAAATATACCAGCTTAGGCTGCCTTGCCATATCTCGGAATCAACTCTTTGTCTCATCACCTTGTCGACGACTGATGCAGCATAATTTTCTGCTGGCATTCCGTTCTTATTTCCTTCATACTTAATAGCTTCAATAGTACTCTTAATAGGAAGATAGAGTGAGTCGTCTGGGGCGAAAAGCCCGTGGTGAAGAATATTACTTCGGACAAACCCGGTAACAACCTCAATGACTTCAACATTGAATGGCTTAAGCTCCTGGAGGATATTAGCGCATATTCTTTTCCGTGAAGGTTGTCCATTTACCAGACGTATAGTCTTAGTGTATTGACTAAGAGCAGCTTTCGAAGCGTTGTACGCAGATTGCCAAACAACCGGTACGTCCCTTGTCACACTACCAATCTGTACGATTCGGCCACACTGTGAACGTCGAAGTAGAGGCACGAAGAGTTGGCACAAACGCATGACGGCGAAGACATTGACTTGAAAAAGCTTGACTGCCTCTTCCACCTCCAAATCCAGTGCCGTTGCTGCGTAGTGGGTCCCTGCGTTATTGACTAAGAAGTCAAGTCGGCCACCCGTCCGCGTCACGATGGCATCTTTGAGTGTTTCAATACTGCTTGGAGAGCTGAGATCGAGTGGGAAGGCCTCGATGTTGTCATGTTGACTTGTCAAATCCTCCAGATGCTTAACGTGTCGCGCTGTTGCTAGAACAGTAACACCGCGATCTGCAAAGGTTATCGCAAGCTGCTTCCCGATGCCGCTACTACATCCCGTGATGAGTGCGAAAGGGATTTGCTTTGCCATGCTCCGCGATATAGTAATTGGGAGAAGACAAACGGGATATCAGTCGTGAGTTGAGCCGAGAAGAAACGTATCTCTAACGTGGAAATGAATTCAGTCAAGGTCTGCCCGGCAACAAACCATGTATAAATTGTACCGAGGTATTACTGCATTTGTTGTTCAATGACGTGAGTGATCGCAAAGCAGGGCGGAACTTGGAACTAATTTTTCGGAGCGATTGAACGATATACTCTTCTGAGATGCCCCGGCTGAATCATTGTCATATGGTAGGATGTCACGAGCAAATGAATGCCAAGTACTGTGCGGGGCCTATGTGGATGTCGTGCCTCAGTAGCGAGTAGAAGGCACCTGTAGATCCTCCGCGGAACAACTGTGGATGCGTTTATTCATGTTTCATCGTCCAGGATACTAATTGAGGTACCGGTTCAATAGATCTCCCGCATTCTATCTCTTATGTAGTTTCGTTCATCATCCGCCTTCTTCAATTCTGTCGTTCCTGCTCGGAAAATTAGCTGACTGTTTTATTGGGGCCTCAAGTTTCATTAGATCATCCGAAATTCCGAGAGAAAGCCAAAACAAAGCAACATGTTCGTGATCAAGAAGCTGATTGCTTTCCAGGATGAATATGGAAACAAGTTCTTTGCGAACACGGATGCACCAGAGTCCGCTCAGGGAGCTTCCATTAAAGCATACCCGTCATTTGACGACTTGACGAAGGATGAGAATGCAACAGAAGTAACCATTGCACAGGTGTGTGGGTCGGTAGTTCCGTTATTTGGCATCTGCTGATAAATGACTCGCAACAAGCTTTTACCTCCTCTGCCGAACGCCAATCTCCCAATTTACTGCGTTGGGCTCAACTACGGAAGCCATGCGAAAGAGGCCAAAGTTAGCCATTAGGCTTCTATTGATTATATGATGGGATTGCTAACTCAAAAAGATCAATGTGCCTGCGAATCCTCCACTATGGACAAAACCACAATCCGCATTGGCAAACCCCGGCGCTGCCATCCCGATGAGTCGATTCTGTGCCTCACATCTTCCAGATTGGGAAGTACGTTCCCATGCGACAACAGCCCCAACGAACAGAACAGTATGCTGACACATTTCAGGGCGAATTGGTCTTTGTCACTTCTCGCGAAGTGCGTAATATCACCGCCGAAGAAGCCTCGTCCTGTATCCTTGGATACACAATTGGAAATGACCTATCGTGTCGGTTCTTCCAACTTCCTGAACAGTCAGGAGGACAATTCTTCTACGCCAAGGCCTTTGACAAGTTTGCTCCCATCGGACCGGTCCTTGTGAGCTCAGAAAGCTTCGACAGGACGAAGAAAGGTGCTCGCTTGATTACTCGCGTTAACGGGGAGATCAAGCAGAACACGTTCATTGAAGACGACATGATTTTCAGCCCCGCCAAAATCCTCAGCTGGATGAGTCAAAGTACGTCGATATTCAAGTCCGATCGATTTGAAGTGATCTAATTAGACATTAGGTACAACAATCCCCGCATACACAGCTGTGATGACAGGAACACCGGCTGGAGTCGGCGCATTCCACAGCCCACGACAGTTCTTAAAGGATGGAGATTCGGTTGAAGTCGAGATTACCGGGATTGGCACGTTGAGGAACGAGGTCTTCTTTGAGAATGGACAGGACTCCACAATGTGAGGAATCCCATTACTTGCTTTTTCACATGAAAGCGATTAGCAGTAAAGACTGAGCTTTGTTACATCTATTAGAAGAATATGAATCACTGATTTTGGTATTTCCTACAACCTCAAACAGATCGCTGGCATTGAAATTAATCAGAGCAAAGCTCTGGTATATGTTCAGCCCCTGGCTCATCTAAGGCGGAACGTATTATAAGAGGAAGAGGAAATCTAAAAACCCACACATACAAAATTTCACACTCGTCCTAATCAAAGATACGTGTATATAGCATTCGGAAGAGGAGATACTACAGCTGGAGCTCCAGCCATCGTACTTGCGAGTGCTATTCCGTTTCGGTAGTTAGGAGAAGGATACAAAACAAATGACGAAGTCATGGGCGGCCAAACAATGTAACCATCATCTGAAAACAATCTGCGTACAATAAGCATGGAAAATGCTGTTGAGATATTCAACACTGTATTGGAGGAGTTATCCAAACGTGTGCACAAAACATGAGCTACGTGTATTTTCGAAAACAAAGGAACAGGAAATTAAAAAGAAAATTGAATCGTAGAGAAGAATTAACGGAAATGGATCTCGAGGTTTTTGAGGCAATCCTTCAAATCAGATAGAGATCTAGCTTTTGCATAAACAATGCCATCCGGTCGGAGAATGATGTACTTTGCCCGGGAGTCGCCCAACCTTTGCTGGAACTGTTTAACGTCATATCCAACACGAACCGGATACCCTTGGAGCAAGTCTATAGGTGCAGGGATTAATACTGTCTCTTTTGTTGTGCAGCCTTGCACATCCGATCTTGCAAAATTGAAGTGAACAATTGACTTGGCAGATAGAACGTCTGAGTGAATCTGGTACTGATCGAAGACGCTTTTCAGGAATGCATTATCCTGTAGGCTTGGGGAATTGATCACGAGTAAAGTCATGATAGTAGGCACGCGACGGAGAGCTTTATCTGATAGCTCAATAATGGCAGATCCACTGCTAGGAAGGTAAGTTAGGACATATATTTGACCCAGCTTTATCCCACCACCAGCAGTACAAGAAAAGGATCCCCTGGGACAGCTCGAGTAACCACGAGCATCCGCAGTTACTTGAGGTAACTTTATCTTGAACGGTTGCAGAACACTCAATGCCAGTTTGGTAAATGCGATATGAAAGGCTCCAGACCAGGTGGCTTCCTTGTTGCACCATTCTCCGTTTTGAAGTGTTAAGCGAGCCGAGTTATCGATAGCTATTCGTCGCTCTAACGACCAGGACTGGAGAAGTTTATCCCTGAAAGACGATGAAATATGATGCGACTGTCCAACTCTTGTCATCAAAGCCAATCTCCAGGCCAAAGCTTCTGCATCTTGAACTCCAGTGGCAACACCTTGGCCTCCAAAGGGTGGGAAAACATGCGCTGCATCTCCGATCAGAGCGGTACGTCCAGCAAACCACTTGTTTACTACTCTGTGAGAGAATTGGAAAGGGCGGCAGCGAAGAATCTCGATGCAATCAGTCGGAAAGGTGATGGACTTTGCGGTTCCATCAGGCAAGGTAAAGGGTCGAGTAATCATGGGCGTAAGGTGATCCCAAAACATTTCGACGGCGTCCATAGAATCTTCCCATTCTGGGGTTGCAAATTCATGTCTCCAGAGGTGATCTGCTTGGGGCCCAAAACGACCACAGGCAGTTGGTTTCCCTGGTGGCCGACAGAAGTGCCAGCCGTCAGGCCAGAATAAGTCGTATACTCCTTGAGAGTCGTAACCAAGCTTCCACAGCGGGAAATCAGGGTGTGTTATCTCAGTTGGAGGGTTAATGTGCAAATTAGCTGCGATCCAAGTGCTGTCGTATTCGAAAATGCCAGCCTCTTGCCTTATGCCCGCGGTCGGCTCCAAGAAGTACTTGCGGACAACGCCTCTTTTTCCATCCGCACCGACGAGCCATGACGCTCTCACTTGACAGTCATTCCCCTCGGCGTTTTTATAGTAGACGGTGACTCCGTCTGCGTCTTCGTTCCGGTTCATGACTTCACACGAGGATTGGATAGTGCAGTAATCGGAAGCCGCAATCATATCCCGTAAGGCTCGTTCTACCATAAAATTCAGTCAATCTTTAAATTTCCGCGTATCTGAATATGAGTGCTGGAAGGCTCACCCAGGCGAGGTTGGCTCTGTAAGATGGTAGTCGGGAGCGCATGCTTCATCATGTCTTTGTCCACATCAAGTACTAAGAAGGATTCGGTTTGAATATTTGTTTCGTGGAATTTGATTGCGCAAAGTTCTGTATTCGATAGCTTTAGTCTTTTATACCTTGGGATTGCCGATGGTTTCATACCTTGGCCAATTGAAGCAACGTGCTTCCCGATACCCAGTTTCCAGAGACTGCGCAAGGCATCACCGGTCAGAACCACGCCTCTGGGGTCGATCACAATGTCCTGCTCCTTCTCAAACACGATTGACTGGGGATTAATTAGACTATGCTTGCAAAGTTGACTCTCGAATAAAGATCTATCCCCAAGGCTCTAGGCATACCTTGATTTTGTGATCAGCCAAGAAAAGGCCTAAGGTGAGCCCCGATGGCCCTCCGCCAACAATGGCAACTGTGGTGTCCATATTGTTACGAAATCGGTGGTTCAGTCCTTCATCTCCGCCTTGAGAGACTATTTAAGGGCCAACTCAGACAACGGCAACGACAAAAAGCCACAAAAGAAAACTGCCCCACCGGGTATCCAGTGCTGTTCGACCATTTGGACATTATTCCTGCTGATCTGCTGTAACGTACCATGAGTCAACATCATGCGATTTTGTACGCCTTGTTAGTTCCTCCGCGGAGGAACCATAACGCGGGTACCGAGGTGTGAGGATTGTTTCGAAGATACAACTCTCTGACCGGATTTTTCCGGAGCTTATGGAGGCGAGGAAAGCTCGAAAGGTGGGCTCTTGCATGGTATTCTATTATAAATATCAATATGAACCTCGCTAGATTCAACATTTCTCTTCTCTACTTGTGTTTTCCTTTGTCGGAACCATAATTTGGGATTCTCAATTCTACGAAGACACCCCATGATATACGAGTCATGTCGCTTGGGTTAATAAATATTCTTACCTTGCTACCACAAACGTGGCAAGACTGGATTTTTCCACCAACCACTGTCCCAGATGTCCAAAATCACCCTTCTAAGATCCAACTGAGTCGCATCTCTCACGTCTATTTCAACCACCGAGACTTGGAGACCTTCAGTCTATTCGCTAAGGACTTTGGATTCGTTCAAGCAGAGCGCAAAGGAGATACAATATATTACCGTGGCTATGGTAGAGATCCCTACGTTTATGTGGCCTCTCAGAGCACAATTCGGCGATCTCGCTTCATGGGTACAGCCTTCGTGGCAAAGGACCAGGAGAACTTCGACAAAGCCCTGGCGCTCCCAGGCGCATTGGTCAGAGATCTTGAAGAAGCCCCAGGAGGTGGACGAATGATCACCTTCGAAAGACCCAATGGAACTTTTTTGCATGTGGTGTACGGCCAAACAGAGCGGGTAATCGGAGAAATCGACCAAAAGGTCCCATCAGCTACCCATGACTCCCACGGCCCCTTCAATGCTCCATTGGATAAACCACGCAAAGGCCAATTCCAACGGTACCATGATGGACCGGCACTGGTACACAAATTGGGCCATTTTGGATACGTGTGCAAGGAATTCGAACAGGAACTTGAATTCTACACCTCGAACTTCAATTTTGTGCACTCCGACATCCTGAATCTCCCACAACTCCCACATATCGACGTCATGACATTCATGCATTTGGATTTAGGCACCGAATACAGCGATCACCACAGCTTCTTCCTGCAGCGTGCGCCACCAGGAACTCGCGAGACATATATTCACCATAGCTCGTTTGAAGTCAATGATTTCGATACCCAATTGTTAGGTCACAAATATCTTGCAAAGAAGGGTTGGAAGTCTGTATGGGGTGTGGGTCGGCATATTCTGGGAAGCCAGATTTTTGATTATTGGTACGATTCAAGCGGTTTCAAAATTGAGCACTATGCGGACGGAGATGTGGTAAATGACAGTAACCCAACACGGAGGGAGCCAGTAGGGCCGTTGTCTGTTTGGGGTCCTGAGTTGCCGAAGGACTTTGGTGATAATAATGCCAGGTAATTTACAAATAACACCAATATATGCTATGATATGTTTTTAAACACTTTCCTACATAGCACTGGATTATGCGAATTATGATCAGTCCAAACCACCCGTTCCTTATTGGAAATTCTGCCAATTTTCAAATCTCCAAAAGTTCGAATTGCCCGTCGTACTAGGGCAATCACAGGAGTGCAGCATCACCAAAATCTGTTTCTTAATGTATGCTTTTTCTCTCTCACCTTGCACTCACTTTTATCAATCCGATGTACTTGCACTATATACTCCCTTTTTATAGAGATTGATATTTATTACCAAAGCCAAGGATAGCTGTTATAGTATATACATATACAATCAAAGCCCACTAACGGTACGGCGGCCTACGGTACAATCGCGTTTAGGGTACACAATTCGCTTGGATGGACCCACTTTTCTTGATTTTTATATATAAAACGTTCACTTAAGGTAAATTCATCTTGGTACACCCCTTTTTATCCTATCTTTACTGAGTCATTCGCTTAGTTAGCCAAATCAACCAATCAGAATGTCTGAAACCTCTGATCTTCTATCTCTACTATGCATTAGATTAGCTACTAAGGTATCTTCTGTACTACTATTACTAAATTATACCTGATTAGGTATATTAGATACCTAGAAGTAGATATTACGTGCCTTTTGGTCCAATACTTGTCCAAAACCAACACAATCTGCTTGCGCAGCTTGGTTCAAGTCCTAATTTGATCATAAGATTAGTCGTGTATCAGTCTTAAGAATTGTTTTATCCTAATATGATTATCTTGATATACAGTCTAATAGGGCTAGTATGTGAAATTCTTTATTATTCTAGCCTATTCTAGACGAAAGGCTATCTAATTAGGTTAGTAGGTATATTAATAATAGGCTTCCAATCATAGGCTCTTTAATCCAGACTAAGATAAATAAGCTTTAGTTGTTATAGGATTCCTGAATCCCTTTAGATATAATTTAGGTATGATTTATAGCTACTCTATAGGCGAATCTACTATAATATACCTACTAATATATAACTACCCTAAGCCCTAGTAAGCTCTAGTAATATTAAAAAATATAAAATATATAAATAATAGCTATAATTCTTATTCTATAAGAATTAGTTCTATATATTAACTATTCTATTTGATCTCTATTATCTAATATTCTTATCTAGTTATAGATCTCTAGTCTAATAACTTAGTAACTATTATAATTCTAATTCTTCTCTCTTAACTACTTAAGGATTAATAATAGTACTCTCTATATACTAAAACCCTATATTCTTTTATAATAGTACTTAATCTAAGTCTACTATATCTTCTTTTCTTATTATTAGATAACCTAAGATTAAATTAATCTTAGATTAATATATAAATCTAACTAAATCTAGTCAAAACTAAATTAGAGAAATTATTAATAATCTTATAACTAAAAATATTAATAGACTTAGAAATATTACTATAGATACTTTAGAAAAAAAAAGATATAAACTAGAATATCTAAAAAAGTTCTTTATAATTTATATTTATTTTAAAAAGCTTTCTATTTAAATCTCTAGAATTAATACTAAGACTTTCTTAAATAATTTATCTATAGCTTATAGAAAAACTAAGATTAAAAAATATAAGAAAATAAAGGATTTTAAGATTAATAAATTTAAGAAATTATTTAGTTTTTAAGAATAAATAAATTAATTTTTATAATTTAGATATATCTTTTAAGATAATCCTAGGATCTATAAGAATAAAAAGATAAAGATCCTTATAGAAGTTAAATATCTTAACTCTAACTATAAAAATAACTAGACTATAAAGAAGAGATATCTTAAAAATAATAATAATAATTACTTTAATAACTAGAAATATTTTAAGAAATAGACTTTTATCTTAATATATAATAAAAATATCTTTATTAGAGAAATTAATAATAAAATAAAGTATTATTACTAATAAACTAATAAAGAACTAAAGGCCTTTTATTATTATTTTATAGATCTAGAATATTATCTTCTTTAAGTCTTTTAGAATAAATAAATATACTATTATATATTAAAACTATAACTATAATTAATATTATATATTTATTAATATATAAAGGTTTCTTCTAAAACTTAAGTATAATAAATAGAAGAAGTATAGAATACCTAGGAATTTATAAAAGTAAAGATATATAAATATAATCTATTTATTAATAATTTAAATTTAAGCTTAAAATACCTATAATCTAATAACTTATTCCTAAATTAGTCTAATAGTATAGAATAAGATTAAAAGGATCCTAGAAATCTATACTTAAAGGATCTTCATAATCCTAGATCTAATCTAAATTATAATAACTCTAAGTTATATCTAAATCCTCCTTAATTTAGAGATAAACCCTAATTATTTCCTTCTTAGAATAAAAATAATCTACTAGAAAGACTAACCTATCTAATCTATCTAATTTATTTATTAGAGCCTCTTTAAATAGTTATTTTAATTATAATAAACTAGGTTATTAAATAAATAAATATTATCTATTATTATAAGCCCTAGGAATAAAGATCTAAGAAGCTTATTTAAAACCCTAGTATTACTATAATAATACTTAATTAAAAGACTTAAGAAAAGTACTAGGATTAAATTAATTCCTATAAATTCTAACTTCTAGTCTTAAGTAAGAATAGTTATCTATCTCTATATTCTAATTTATATCTAAAATAATATTAAGATATATATAGATATTAATACTTATATAAAGATAGATCTTATTAATTATAAATTTATTTAGAAATACTACTTTAATTAAGCTAAGTATAATACTTCTATTCTAGAAGTAATAGACTAATAAAATATCTTTATCTATAATATATAGACTATTCTAATTACTATATATAACTTTTAAGGAACTAAATAAAAGTTTTTATATTCTTATATTATAATTAATAGAGATCCCTATCTATTAGGATTACTAATATTATTTTTAAATATAATTATCTAAGAAATATAAATTATATTAGCCCTATAATAGAAATAATAATAGTTTAAATATAATAAAAAAATAATAGAATAATTAAAGTTTTATTAGTTTATAAAAGTATATAAGAACTAAGTCTATATCTTTATAATTATTAAAATCCTAGAAGAAATCTAGCTTCTTCTAGAAGAAAAAGAAAATAAATTAATAGTAAGTTAAGACTAAATCCCTTCTGAATTATTAATATTCTAGGATATATTTAAGATATAAAACTCTAAAATTATATTACTATAAAAAGAGATTAACTATTTAATTAAACTTAAAGAAAATATATTATCTCTATATAGTCTAATCTATCCCCTTTTATAGATAGAACTTATAAAGTTATAGAAGTATCTTAATAAAAACTTAATAAATAATTAAATCAGATTATTAAAGAGCCTAGCTAATATATCTATCCTATTTATATCTAAAAAGAATAAAGAGCTATAGCTCTATATTAATTATTAAGATCTAAATAAGATTTTAGTTAAAAATCAGTATCTTCTATCTTTTATTTTAGAGATTCTTAACTATCTTTCTAGGGTTTAATTCCTTAGTAAAATTAATATATAAGATATATATTATTAAATTTATATTTAAAAAGAAGAAGAATAAAAGATAACTTTTTATATAAGATATAACTATTTTAAATATATAGTTATATTATTTAGTCTTATTAATATACCTATAATATTTTAAAGCTATATCTATACTATACTTTATAATCTTCTTAATATTATTTATATTATATATTTAGATAATATTCTTATCTTCTTTAGGATCTATAAAAAATATATAAAATACCTTTATCTTATATTTAAAAGATTAAAAGAAATATAGTTATTTATAAAAACCTCTAAATATTAATTCTATAAGAAATAAATTAAATTCCTTAGTTTTATTATTAGTTAAAATAATATCTCTATAAATCTAGAATAGATTTAAACTATCTAAGAATAGAAATAATCTATATCCTATAGGAAAATTTAAGTCTTTCTAGGATTCTATAACTTCTATTAAAGATTTATTAAAAATTACTTTTTAATTATACTATTACTTATAGAGCTTTTCAAAAAAAGCAAAAATAAAAAAAAACTAAGAAATATTAAACTAAATAACTACAAATCAAAAGTATTTTAAGATCTTATTAATATCTTTTTAACTATATCTCTTCTATAATATTTTAATCTAAAGAGACTTATCTAACTTAAAACTAATATTTTAGATTTTAGAATAAATAGAATCCTTTTATAACTAGATAATTAAAGAATATAATATCTTATTACTTTTTAATTAAAGAAATTCTTATCTATAGAATAGAATTATATAATACTAGATTAAAAGCTATTTATAATTATTTATTTATTTAAATATTAGTATTAATATCTTAAAGAAAGTTAATATTAGATTAAGATTCTAATAGATTATTATAATCTAAAATTATTTATAGATTAATCTAAGATTAATAGAAAATAAATATATTAATATCTTTCTCTTACTCTATTTAACTTTATAATATATTATTATTTAAAAAAGACTAATCCTATAAATAAATTATTCTATATCCTAGAAAAAAAGAAGTCTTTATCTATAAAAAAGATATTAAAACTAATTTATAAAAGAATTATAATCAAATTATTTATAAAAGTATAGTAGTTTACTATTAATATAATATTATTTAAAAAAGAAAGTAAAAAGAAGTAAAGATTAATAATTATAATTATATTAATCTATAGAAATCTATTACTATCTCTTTTTCTAACTATAAGTAATTTAATTAATAATCTAAAATTAAAACTAAACTAGATTTAAAATAATATTATTATTCCTATAGATTAGAAAGATCTAGAAAAGATTATAAATAAATCTAATAAAGTTAATTATTTAGATCTAAAGAATAATAAAGAAGTTTTCTTAAGTTAAGATTATAATATAACTAAGTTTTTCCTAAGTTAAAACTATAATATAATATATTATAAGATTTTAAATTACTTTTAATTTATATTTTTTTA